TGTCAACGTCCGATTTTTTACGCCCTTTACAGAGATACTCATTGACGTAACATAACGTAATGATAATGATGATTTTTTTTTTGTAAAACGAAGTACCCGAACAACCCGTTTTGTTAAAAAAAAAAAAAAAAAAAATTTCTTTCTTTTAAACCCGAATGCCAAAACGTATTATTATTATTATTATTATTATTATTAAACTTATCGTACAATGTTATTCCATTATGTTTGAGTTATAATTTTTTATGCTTTACGCTTTTCGAATTTTATCATCATTAAATTTTTTTTTTTTTTTCTTTATGTTTAACACGAAAAAAATACAATAATAATGATGATTATAATGATTATTATTATTATTATTATTACGTTGAAATTAATAAAATTATTTTATATTCATTTTATTCGCGTTAAAAAAAAAAAAAAAAAAAAAAAAATTAAAGTTCGTAGAACTCACTTACGAGATTGATACAAAAAATTTGCGCATCATTTTTCAACTATAAAATTTAAATTTATTTATTTATTTATTTATTTATAGACACGAATTAATAATTATTTATTTAATTAAAAAAAAAAACAACAACGTTCGAATTATTATTATTATTATTATTATTATTATTATTATTATTATTATTATTATTATTATTATTAAATTAAAAAATGCTTAAGTGAAAAATTTTAATAGAAAATAAAAAAATTCATTTTTCTTACGCGAATTTATTATTATTATTACTGTCATTATCATTATCATCATCATCAACATCATTATTATTATTATTATTATTATTATTATTATTATTATTATTATTATTATTATTATTATTATTATTATTATTATTATTATTATTATTATTATTAATCATTACTATTACACCGTAATCGATTAATAATTAACAAACGGCAAATGATTTTTTTTAAAAAATAAAATGGGGGGAAAATTTTTTTTTTTAAATTATTTTTGTTAATTTTATTATTTCCGTATCCGGAAAATCGAATAAAATATTAATAGCGTAAAATAAACACAAACAAAAAATTTTATATTTATTTTTAGTGTTTATTCATTCATTTTTATTATTTGTTTATTTATTTATTTATTGTTGTTGTTGTTGTTGTTGTTGTCGTGATTTTGTTGTTTTTCTAAAATTATAACATTTATAG